AAGACACGACCAATACTCACTCATCTCAATCCACACGGACAAGGAGAACCACGACTTCGACTGGGACAACACCAAGATCCTGGGACAGGCAAGGCAGAGACAAGCACGAGAATTCCTGGAAGGATGGCACTCCACGAAGCATGCTATTAATAAACACATTGAACTCGACCCCATATACAATCCACTACAGAGGAAACCCGGAAGTGAGGCAATCCATCGCAACGGACCCCAGAGTTTAAAAACCAGATGGGAAAACACACCGACGCTTTAACAGAGGCTGCACTGAGGATGTTACCAAGCATGGTAATGAAACGTCTGCGGAACAACAAACCAGCTCGGCGAGCCAACCAACCTCAATATCAGAGGGTTTACATTCATACACATCCACTCTATGAAATGATCACATTTGGAGTGCAAAGCACTTTTGGTAGGAGTGCGTTGGTCTAATTTGCTTTCTTAGCGCTCAGCAATGAGACTTTAGTGAGACTGAGGTAATTTGCTTAACATGTTTCTACAGGGAACTGTAGGGGCCTGTGATTGAGGACCATTTACTGATAGTTAAGTTGGTGCTGGTGATATAGGAGGAGGAGAGTTTGTTAAGTCCTCCGCTGGTGAAGGGTGCCTGTTCTCAGCGGCTGGGTGGGGAAAGGAAGAGAAAATTCTACGTTCTCCCACTGGTCTGTGGTTCTTCAGTTCCGGATGGAAGTCTAATCGTTCTGACTGTCATGACCAACAGATGTTGGTGTTTGGGAGAACAATACTCTATCATAGCAACAAATGTCCTTCACTTTTAATGTCCTATAGGGAAGGAAACTTCCATCCTTACTTTATCTGGGCTACATGTGACTCCAGGCCCACAGCAATGTGGTTCACTCTTAACTGCCCTCTGGGATGGATAAGGAACACTGGCCTAGCTAGCAATGCCCTCGTCCCGCGAATGAATGGAAAAAAAAGCTGAAGGGTTTCGACCTGAAAAATTGACTTTCCTGCTCCTCGGTTGCTATCTGACCTGCTGCGCTTTTCCAGCTCCACATTTATTGACTCTGTTAACAACAGCATGTTGGTTCCTTGCTAATCAGTGAGTAGGTGCAGTAAGCCTCAGTGAGGCCAGTCATAGTTTTGTGGTCCCTCAGATTGTTGTGCTCAAAAGCTGAATGAACCAAAGTACCATAAGAAAGAATCAGACGAGGAGACAGAGGAGGTGATATTAGAACAGGTTATCAAACATTCGGATAAAGAGGTCAGATTTATGGAGTGTCTTAAAAGGCAGCGACAGAGATTAGAGTCATGGGTATGCCAGAGGACTGGAGGGAGCCTCTATTTAAGAAGAGTTCAGAAGTCACACAACACCAAGTTGTAGTCTGAAAGGTTTATTTGAAATCACAAGCTTTCAGAGCACTGCTCCTTTGTCAGGTGAAGTGAAGAAAAGCCTTTAACAATGTACCACATGATAGGCTAATTAGTAAAGTTAGATCACATGGGATTCAGGGAGAGCTCGCCAACTGGATACAAAATTGGCTTGACAGTAGGAGACAAAGGGTGGTCATGGAGGGTTGTTGTTCGGCATGGAGGCCTGTGACCAGTGTTCCGCAGTGATCAGTGCTGAGTCCACTATTGTTTGTCATTTGTATAAACAATTTGGATGAGAGTTGAGGGATCATTAGTAAGATTGCGGTTGAGACCAAAACTGGTGGTATAGTTGACAGTGAAGCAGCTTATCTAAGATTACAAAGAGATCTTGATCAATTGGGCCAATGGATTAAGGAGTGGCAGATGAAATTTAATTGGGATAAATACAAGGTATTGCATTTTGGTAAAATGAACTAAGGCAGGACTTATACAGATAATGGTAGAGCCCTGTCAAATAGAGACACCTAGGGGTTCAGGTACATAGTTCTTTGAAAATTACATCACAGGTATACAGGGTGGTTCAGAAGGCCTTCATTAATGAGACCATTGAGTACAGGAGTTGGGATGTTACTGTTGAGGTTGTACAGGATGTGGTGACACCGCTTTTGGAGTAGTGTGTACAGTTCTGGTCACCCTGCTATAGGAAGGATATTATTAAATTGGAGAGGGTACAGAAGAGATTTACCAGGATGTTGCTAGGGCTGGAGAGTTTGAGTTATGAGGACAGACTGGGACTTTGTTCACTGTAGAAGGGGCATAGATAAGGTGAATAGCCTCCCTAGGGTGGGGGAGTTCAAAACTAGGGAGCATAATTTTAAGGTAAGAGGAGAAAGATTTAAAAGGAACCTGACGTGCAACATTTTCACACAGAGGTTGGCTCATATGTGGAATATACGAGGTAGTAGTAGATGCAGGCACAGTTACAATATTTAAAAGACATTTGGATAGGTACATGAATAGGAAAAGTTTGGAGGGATATGAACCAAACACAGGCATGTGGTAATAGTTTAGTTTGAGAACTTTGGTCAGCATGGACAAGTTGGACCGAAGGGTCTGTTTCTGTGCTGTATGACTCTATAAATTCCAGAGCTTAGAGCTTGGACAGCTGAAGGCATAGCCAGCAATGGCAGGTCAAAGAAAATCAGGAATTTCCAACAGGCCAATATTTTGCAAAAGATACCACACCGTGGGATCGTGTTCAATATCAACCGAGATCAGTGAGCGGCAAAAATAGCCTCTTTATTGAGCATCTGCAGTGGCACAGTTCAAGGTGGCAATGGAATCCAAAGTACAGTTTTATAGTAGCCTCTTTTATACACAGTTTTTAACATACATTTAATTTTTAGCACAATGGTGTCTCACAGTTGTATCTATTGTACACAAGATTGTATGACATCGGTCCTGGGGAAGGAGGTAGTTTAAACACTTGCTAAATGCTGGCCGTTACTCCTGATGGGATTAGAATGTCTGCCTGGTCTGAGCTTGTGTAATTAAGAGGTGTCTTTAAAAGTTAGTAACAAAAGGAGTAACGTTAGTAAAATTACTAAACCTATATGATCTCAATAAGTGAGAAATTATACATGTACTAAATAAAACTTGAGGATATTAAACTGATCGCCCCCAGCAGGGTTGTGAGATTTCATCTACTGGTTTTTGACAGTTCTTACACATTCATTCGTGCAGTTTCACGGAAGTGTTGTTTTGATAGTAAGTTTCTTAAAGGGGGCAGCAGCCCTATTTAATATGTACTTAAAGTATAAATCCGTACATTAGTACAAGATAATAGTCCTAAATAAACATTAGAAATAGGTAGTACAGTGTTATAGAAATAGGTAGTGTATAAGGAAATTTCAAAAAGAGATAAAAAGCAGCAAACTGTAGGGACAAGTTGGTGGAGGAAAACTGTGATGTCCTGCAGCCTATTCAGGTCCCGAGAGACGGTTACTAAGTGCTAATTAATATTATAATCTTTCCATAGTTTTGAGTGAGTTATGGAATCACAATGGCGGGGATAGCATTGTTCTGAGCCGGTTACAGTATTAACACTTATTCAGGAGTAGCCTTTAATATAGAAACAGGTCTACACACTGCTTGCATCATGGGGCTGATAAGAATTGAAAGGTGTAAAGAAACAGTAAATGGGTTGGCAGCCTAGGAAGGGATGTTTAATTTAGTTTATCTTGTAAGAGTAAAACGTACTACAAAAATGCGGTTTTATAAATGAATGAATGGAAACACAGCATAGTAAACATAGAGCACTTGTGAGTGAGTTAGTAAAGAGAATCACGATACATTATCTCACAACACATTAGGCTACTTGATAAGAGCCCATGGTGTTGGCATAGTATATTAGAATAGATAGAGGACTGGCTAAGTAATAAAAGACAGGGTTTGGATAGGGGGTCATTTTCAATATGGCAACCTGTTAACTAACCGTGTGCTAAAGAGATCAATACTGGGGCCACACAATATACATGAAAGACTTGGATGAGGAACATGATGTACTGTTGTACATGAACATGGATGACACAAAAATAGATGGGAAGCTAAGTGGCGAGGATCTCATGAAGAGGCTGCAGACGGATACAGAGCGCTGAAGCAAGTCAGTAAAAAATTTGACAGATGAAATGTAATGAGAGAAGATGAGGAGTTATGCACTTCAGAATGAAGAATAGAAGAGTTGAATATTGTTTAAATGGAGAAAGACTGCAGAAAGCTATAGCATAAAAGGATTTGGGAGTCCTTGCGCATAAATCACAAAAAAAAATTAGTGTCCAAGTTCAACAGATAGTAGGGAAGGTAAATCAAATATTCACCTTTATTTCAAATAGAACAGAGGATAAAAGAAGGGAGGTCCTGGTAAAATTATACAAGTCATTAGGAAGACCACAGCTAGAATATTATGAACAGTTTTGATCCCCTTATCTAAGGAAGGATATACTGGGATCGGAGGCAGCCCAGAGAAGGCTCTCTAGGTTGATTCAAGGTATGGAGGGACTGTCTTCTGAGGAGAGGTTTAGCAGTTTGGGCTGGTACTCATTGGACTTAAGAAAAATAAGAGGCAATCTTATTAAAACATAAAAGTTTGCAATGTCACGTATACTGAAGCATTCTATGTCCAAATGCAGCAAGACTTGGACAGTATCTAGGTCTGGGCTGGCAAGTGGCAAGTAACATCCATGACACATAAGAATCAGGCAATGACCATCTCCAACATGAGAGAATCTAACCATTTCTCCCTTGACATTCATTGGCATCATCATTGAATCCCCCCCTACATCCTGCGGGTTATAATTGACAAGAACCGGAAATGGGATAGACATATAAATACTGTGCCTACATGACCATATCAGAGGCTAAGAACACTGCAATGAATAACACACCTCCTGACTTCACAAAGCCTGTCCACCATCTACAAGACACAGTCAGGAGTGGGATGGCATGGCATATTCCCCACACATCCAGATGAGTATAGCTCCAACAATATTCAAGAAGCTTGATGCCATCTAAGATAAATCCTTGTTGGCATCATATCCACCATCATCAACATTCACTATCCTCAAAACTAACGAAAAATGGCAGCAGCGTTACCAACAGAAGATGCACTGTACCAAATTGTCAAAGCTCCTTTGAAAGCACCAAATCTGCGACCTCTATCCTTAGAAGAGCAAGGACAGAAAATACAGAGGACACCTTGACTCATAAATTCCCCCCCAAGCCACACAAGCATTCTGACTTGGAAATATATCATCATATTCCTTCAACGTCACTGAGTCAATATCCTAGAACTCCCTATCAAATAGCACTATGGTGTTTTATTTATTCACTTATGGGATGAGGGCATCACTGGCTAGGCCAGCATTTATTGCCCATCCCCAAATTCCCAGAGGGCAGTTAAAATGTTAACCATACTGTTGTGGGTCTAGAGTGACATGCAGGCCAAGCTGGGTAAGGACAGCAGATTTCCTTCACTAAAAGGACATTAGTGAACCAGATGGGTTTTTACGACAATTGACATTAGTTACATGGTCACCATTAGGTAACTTGCTATTCCAGATTTTTACTGAATTCATATTTCACCATCTGTCATAGTGAGCTTGGAGAACATTAGCTTGAGGGTCTGGGTCACTAGTCCAATGAGATTACCATTAACCACTACCTCCCCCTCTGTTCATGCAGGCAGCTCACCAACTTTACAAAGACACTTGGCGATGGGCAATAAATGCTGTACTACCCAATTGTATTCATATCCTATGAATGCACAAATTTTAAAAAAATGTTGGTGCTCAGATGTTGTCCTTATACCAAAAATATTTAAAAGTTCTTATGTAGGCACTGCATGTAGTTAGGTAGGCAAAAGGTAAGTTTATTATAAGGGCATTGGAGTTCAAGGGCAAAGAAGCACTCGTTCAGGATTTTGGTGAGATTACACACAGGTTTTATTTACAATTTTGTTTTCCATTCCAATGAAGGATACACTTGCCTTAGAAGGGATGCAACAAAGAAATTTACCAGATTAATTCCTGGGTTAAAAGGGTTGCAGATTACATAGAATGAGTCTTTACACGCTGGAGTTTAGAAGGAGAACTGTTCTCAGTGAAATAGATAGGCATTTGACAGAGCGAAATGCTGAATGGTTTTCCTGGTTGGGATATCTAGAACTGGGGCTCAGTGTTAGATAAAGGGGTGGCCATTTTGGTCTGAGATGAAGAGCGATTTCTTCACTCAAAGGGTGGTGAATCTTTGGGATTCCTGTCTCAGAGGACTGTGGATGCTCAGCCGTTGAGTTTATCGAAGACTGAGATTGATAGATTTCTTTGAAGTTCAAAAATTTAAGAGAAATGGGGAGCAGATGGGAAAGTAGAGTTAAGATCAAGAATCAGCTGTGATCTGAAGGCCTACTCCTGTACCTCTTTCTTACCTAGGAGGGAGACAAAAACATTTGCAGATGGTTATGGCATTGGAGGACAACTAGCCAGTATGACAATTTTCAAGTGAAAAGTTCACAATTTCAACAGAAGAGAGATGAAAACAGTTGAAAAATACTCACCTCTAACAGCTCCCCCAGCTGACAGGAGGTCTATATACTTACTTTTTCTAGAGTTTCAATGGTAACCCCAGCAGCAACAGAGACAATGAGGTGTGCTGGTGTGACGAATGGGGAAATTTCTTTCAGGACTCCGGGCAGCTGAGAAGGCTTGACGCTCAGAAAGAGGACATGGCAGCTCTCCACCACTGAGGTATTACAGTGTGTTGTCTGCATCCCAGCTTCCTGCAAAGCAAGGATCAGAGGGAAAGCTGGATTGAGAAAAGGCCACATTTCAGCAGCAATCTTAACTCATTCCTCATAAAGTCCCATCCTGAATGTTATATTGGGGAAGTCTGATTAGCTTCTTGCTTCCTCCATGGACTGCAGTGGTTCAGAAGGTAGCTCACCACCACCTTCTCAACAGCAACAATAGATGGGCAATAAACATTGGTCAGCCAGTGATGCCCATGTCCTACAATACAATTAAAAAAAAGACTCCCAGCATCAATCTTGAAATTTTTCTCTCTCTGACTCTTTTCCGGATATAGCTGTTCAAGCTTAGGTACAGGCTCAGGTACTAGAGTATTCAGTTGTGGGACACTTCACAACTTAAGCATGATTCCGTTCTCAATCAGGACCCACATATAGCCTTTGAAGCACAGAGGAGGGTGGCACTGGACAGTGATTAGCTGCAGCATTTTCCTTTTCATTAGCCCAGGGGACACTCAAGCTAACTTTCGTCAAGCAATTACAGCTGGAAATCATCTGCAGCAGCTTAGTAACGCCACAAAGCAGCCTCGTAAACGATGAAGCCAATGTGTGTGTGCACGTGTGTATTGGTGTGGGGGTGGCTCAGCTATTTGTTAAACAGGTTCCGTGGTGCCAGCTGCTTATCCTCGCTAACCCTCATTCCCCATCACCAAGCTTCATACGGCTATAATCCAGAGCGAGTACCTTGAACTTATACAAGTTGTTGTTTGATGGAGCTGAAGCTATCACGTTCTCAGGTTTCACATTCCCTAAGGAGTAGAAAAAGATTTATTTTAAAAATTCACTTTGCACCTTACTGTTCCCTCACCTCCTCAGACCCCGGTAACACAAGAGGAAGGTGGTTTGAAAAGTAATCTCTGACACGGACTGACTGAGCCAAATGGACTATGCGTCCCAAATAATATGCTTCCGCTTAAAGTTTTTGAGAAGATTTGTAGCTCGAGTTGTGGACGAGGTTGTAGACTTGCTCGCTGAGCCGGTGGGTTTGATTGCAGACGTTTCGTCACCCTGCTAGGTAACATAGAAGATAGGAGGAGGAGGAGGAGGCCATTCAGCCCTTTGAACCTGCTCTGCCATTCTTCACAATCATGGCTGATCATCCAACTCAATAGCCTAAGCCTGCTTTCTTCCCATAGCCTTCGATCCCATTCTCGCCAAGTGCTATATCTAGTTGCCTCTTGAAGACATTCAATGTTTTGGCATCAATTACTTCCTGTGGTAATGAATTCCACAGGCTCACCACTCTTTGGGTGAAGAAATGTCTCCTCATCTCCGTCCTAAATCATCTACCCCGAATCCTCATGCTGTGATCCCTGGCTCTGGACACACCCACCATTGGGAAAATCCTCCCTGCATCTACCCTGTCCAGTACTGTTAGAATTTTATAAGTCTTTATGAAATCCCCCCTCATTCATCTGAACTCCAGCGAAAACAATTCGAAACTAGTCAATCTCTCCTCATATGTCAGACCCGCCATTCCCGGAATCAGCCTGGTAAATCTTCGCTGCATTCCCTTGAGAGCAAAAGCATCCTTCCTCAAAAGGAGGCCAAAACTGCACAGAATATTCTAGACAACAAGGTGCAGAGCTGGATGAGCACAGCAGGCCAAGCAGCATCATAGGAGCAGAAAGGCTGACGTTTCGGGCCTAATCTCAGATTCTCCAGCATCTGCAGTTCCTACTATCTCTGACAGAATATTCTAGGTGTCGTTTCACCAAGGTCCTGTACAACCGCAACAACACATCCCTGCTCCTGTACTCGAAACCTCTCGCAATGACGGCCAACATACCATTTACCTTCTTTACCGCCTGCTGTACCTGCATGCTTACCTTCAGCAACTGGTGCACAAGGACAACTCCAGCTGCACACTCCCCTCTCCCAATTTACAGCCATTTAGGTAGTAATCTGCATTCTTGTGTTTTTTGCTTCTGAAGTGAATAACCTCACATTTATCTAAATTATATTGCATCTGCCATTAATTTGTCCACTCACCCAACCTGTCGAGATCATGCTGAAGGATTTCTGCATCCTTGTCACAGTTCACCCTCCCACGCAACTTGGTATCATCTGCAAACTTGGAGATATTACATTTTGTTCCCTCATCCAAATCATTAATTATATATTGTGAATAGCTGGGATCCCAGCACCGATCCCTGTAGCACCCCACTCGTTACTGCCTGCCAATTTGAAGAGGGCCCATTAATTCCTACTCTTTTTGTTTCCTCTCTGCCAACCAGTTTCCTATCCATCTCAATACACTTTCCCCAATTCCACATGCTTTAATCTTGCACATGAATCTCTTATATGGGATTTTAACAAATGCTTTCTGAAAGTCCAAATATACTACATCGACTGGCTTTCCCTTGTCAACTCTACTAGTTACATCTTCATAGAATTCCAACAGATTTGTCAAGCATGATTTCCCTTTCATACATCCATGCTGACTGTGTCTGATCCTGCCACCACTTTCTAAATGCTCTGCAATAAAATCCTTGACAGTGGATTCAAGAATTTTCCCCACTACCAATGTTAGGCTCACCGGTCTACAGTTCTGCTTTCTCTTTACCTCCCTTTTTGAATATTGGAGAGACATTAGTGACCCTCCAATCTGGAGGGACTGTTCCAGAGTCTATAGAATCCTGGAAGATGACCACCAATGCACCCACTTTTTCTACAGCTACTTCCTTAAGTACTCAGCGATGTAGATTATCAGGCTCTGGTGATTTATCGGCCTTCAATCCCAACAATTTTCCCAGCACCATTTCTCTACTAATATTGATCTCCCTCAGTTTTTCCCTCTCACTAAATCTTGCATCCTCCAACAAATCTGGTATCTGATTTGTGTCCTCTATTGTGAAGACAGAACCAAAGTATGTATTTAGTTCCTCAGCCATTTCTTAACAAACCACTGAAAAACAGAAAGGGAAGTGATGCCAACCATCCCAGCGAACCGAGGCATATAAATAACTTGTGGGACAGAACCCCAACGCTTCACTGGAGGTGCACTGACAATGTTACCTAGCAGGGCGAGGGAACATCTGCAGTTAAACACACTGGCTCAGCAAGCAAGTCTACAACCTAATCTGCTTCCATGTTAAATCAGTGTTACTACAGTATAAACTGCATGACTGAGATGCGATCCCTGGAGAGTCTTCATCATATAAGGCCATATGAATGGTTTCACTGCAATTCTCGAAGTCCCTCTCCAAAACACTCTCCTCAATGTTTAGCATGAATCTCCACAGCTATCAACGTAACTGCTTTTAGACAAAATGTTAAAACTGAGACTCCTTCTGCTCACTCAGTGGGTGTAAGAGATCCCGAGGTATTATTTCAAAGAACAGTGGGAAAATTATACCTGATGTCCTGACCAATTTTTAAACCTCAATCATAAGTAAAACAGGCTAACTGGTCATCATCGAATGAAATTAAAAACTGATAGAACTGCAGATGCTGTAAATCAGGAACAGAAACAAAGTTGCTGGAAAAGCTCAGCAGGTCTGGCAGCATCTGTGAAGAAAAAAAATCAGAGTTCTGAGGAAGACTGAGGAAGTTCTGAGGAGACTTCTGAAGAAGGGTCACTGGAACTAAACGTTAACTCTGATTTTTTCTTCACAGATGCTGTCAGCCCCGCTGAGCTTTTTCAGCAACGTTGTTTTTGGTCATTATCAAGCTTCTATTTGAGCGATGTCATGTGCAGATTTGCTCAGCATTTCCTATGTTACAACAGTTCACTCCTCAAAATTGTACCATTGCTTGTGAAGCAATTGAGACACTGGTGGTCAAGTTAGGCACTATAAAAATTCAAGTGTTTTTGTACTTTTCTTTTGGATGGAGCTGAGCTGCTTTGTCAGCAAGTTGGGAATCTCACAAATTGGTAAAGACTCAGAAAAATATAAAACATGAAATCAACACACCTCTCTGCTCACACTCACCAAACCCAAACCCAGACACATCTTTCCCCACAAATCACAGGCACACCTGCCCCAAACCCAGACTCTCTCTTCTCCGCCCTCCTCTCCCTCTTCCCATAGAAGATACAACTCTCTCTAGCTTAATAATATCCTGCCTATAACAGGGTAGCTGAAACTTGACACAGTACTCCAGAAGAAGCCTCACCAACATCCTGTACTACCTCAACACGACTTCCTAACTCATATACTCAAACATCTGAGCAATGAAGGTATGGTAAATACCTTTTTAACCACACATATGTGACACAAAACTCAAAGAATTATGTACCTAAACCCCTAGGTCCCTC